ATGGGTTAGTCATAACTCAATATTGCCATTTAGGGTCGAATTTGATTTTTAAAAATACATATTTGATAGAAAAATTGAGGAGCATATAATTAGATAGATTGAATATCACAATTATATATATAAAACACGCGTTCTTTACGATCTACTTGATAATTTTTATGATACGAGAAACTATAAATTCCTTGCAAATTAAATATATATAACAAAATGCTCTCATAGTATGTCGGTCGCACTAATAAAGAAAATTAAAAGAGAATGTATTTTACTTAGATTGGCAACGTTTGAGCACTTCCTTATGTGTGAGCGAAAAATGTTGAAAATATATAGCTATTGAATCCAAGTATCCAACCATTAGGGATTGTAGTTAGCTCATTTGTTTGTCCTCCTCATAAATCCTATTTATAATATATAAATACATTATTATGGATATTGAAAATAAACTTAGGATTAGCTTCACAAAGAAAATGCTCCGCATCTTTTGAGAATTTTAGGTTATGAAAACAAGTGAAATAATTTATTTTCTCAAAATTCTCAACGATCGATAGAATAATTGTGATTGTTGTAGATATATTTTTCATTAAAAAGAAAGGTAAACTACCTTTTTATACATACATTCATATACTATATATACTAATTCTATCTATACTTCAAATAATTATGTATCTTACCACTAATTAAGAGTATCTTACTTCCTAGTTCCTATTATATATTGAGAAAGATACGCCTAGATACACGTATTTTTGTCACCAAATACATTAAAATAGGGAGAGAGACGAGTGAGATAGGAATAGAGACAAGAGAGATAGTCATGTATATGTACTTGGGATACCATATACATGGGAGAGTGGTGAACGAGGTGAGAGGGAGGCGAGCGAGATTTGTTAAGTATCTCATATAATGTGAATCTACTTGGATAAAATATATCTAGAACAAATTACACCTAATTTTAACTTCATGTATCCCGAGATACATGTTTCTGAATGCACCAAAATCTGATAAGATTTGTAATATTGCAAAATATTGTGTATCTAAATAATTAGCTCCTAAACTAATATGGTTTTTGTAAGTTACCCCAAAAAGAAAACAACAAATCTCCTAATTAGTATTTTCGGTTAAATACTACATCAAGTCTATGTATCATTATAATACATGATTCCAAATCACTTTCTCTTGATCAATAAAGATATATATAGTATTGCTGGACCACAAACTTTAGACCCCATGAACAGCTCAGTCATTAATAATTTTCCACTAAAAGAGATAGAAATAAAAAAATAAACTGTGAGAAAATTAAAGAGGGAACAAATTTATGAAATCTCTCGAAAGGCATATGGGGTCCTTGAAATTCCTATTTATTATTTTTTATTTATATAAGAAGTAAATTGCAAGGTACCAAACAAATATGGTTTATGTCCCCTCTCTCCTTTTCCATAAAATAAACAGCTTTTTAGAATATGATATGTATATAGACAGTTGTGTTGTTTCCTAGGAATGTCCCAAAAACTTTGTATCCAATTTTAAATTTTTAGAGGTTGATGACTTTGTATCCAATGTGCTATGGTTCATAATTTTGCTATGATAGAGTCACTTATATAATTATTAGCCAATTGTTTTAATTCATTTCAATTTAATTCTTCACTTAATGATATTTTTTAAATTAAGTTCTATGTTAAATGCATACGCAATTTAAAGTAGTTCATAATTTGCTTGACGGACAACTTAACTCGGGCGTCAATCACATCCTACCCAATTTGAAGGTGTTTTAGTTGTCTAACTCAACTGCCAGCTTTTAAGTGTGTTTCGCCAAATAACTAGTAATAATTTTCTACAATATGTAAATTAAGATATTTTTTTTATTTGGATTCAAGTACTTGTTTTTAAATAAATAAAAACTATTTATTTATATAGATACATTAAAAAATTAATGATTTTAATTATTCAATGTCCAAATTTATAGTCAACATCTTAATAATACTCCTTCTGTCCCTAATTACTTGTCCACTTTTGAATTGACACACCTATTAAGAAAATAATTAATGACATGGTGAGTTTACCATTTTACCCCTATTAATTATGAAGTGGATGAAAAGTTCTATATTTTTCAAAGTAATTAATCATTTAATTGAGGGTATAATAGATAAAAAGAAATTTGTCCTTTCTTGATTTGTCAAAATGGACAAGTAATTAGAGACAACTATAAAAGGAAAAGTGGATAAATAATTAGGGACAAAGGGGATATTAATGTATATTCAATTCAAATGTTCCTACCTTCAGAAAGAACAAAGAAACAAACGAGGTTAAACTATCTTAAGGGAAATGACTTCATTATAGTAGTAATCAAAAGAAACAAAGATAAGAATATAAAAAATCTAGAGTAATTTTAAAATGCTTTAGAAGTGTTGGCAAGGGAGAATATTTTTCATTAAAAATAAAAAAAAAATTGAAAAATGAGTTAATCTTACCTTCTTCTTTTTTCTAGTAATTAGTAAATAAATGAATAAAAGGTATTATTTTAAAAATATTTATATGTAATCTAACAAAAAAAAATAAGAATGAGAGGAGTTGGGGAGTGGGGCCTCAGGGGTGACCAGGTGGGAATTAGGATGATCAAGGGATAGGAGTGAGTGTCGTTGAGTGGGTGGAGAGGATACAATAATAAGAATCACACTTATTGAACTTGCTCTTTCTATTATTATCTTTCTCATTTTTAAGAAATTTATCGTTTCAGAAAAAATACTTTTTAAAAATTTAATCCAATTAAATATAAAAGTTCAAAATATATTTTTCTCCGAACCAAACAGAAAATGTAAGTCTATGGTACCAAAGGAAAAATAAAATGAAATGTCAATTCTTTTCCTACTTTGACTAGGTGAAGGGAATACATAGATGATGGTGATGGAATAATGTCAATAATGTCATTGTCCAAAATAGTTCATGTCTATCTTTCTTGACCAGAAATAACGTTAACTTCTCATCACACATAATTCTTGCATTTCTTCTCATCAATGCCAAATTCTACACCACTAGTAATACTACAGCTGTCTTTTATTATTATTTTTTTAAAAATATTTTTATTGGAAACTTTTAATTTATGTTGATCAAAGTTGATGTGAAAATTAAACTCTTTCATTTAAGAACTCCAATAATAGTGCTTGAGGTTGATCAATCTATTTTTATTTTTTTTGGTTTCCCATCCAGTGTCCAGAACCCATATTGGAGCTCCGACTAAATTCGGATCGCGCACTGCAGGGTCCATTCGGGGGTGGCGCTCCCAACAGGATTTTCTTCATACCTAGGGCTCGAATCTGAGACCTCTGGTTAAGGGTGAATCACTCCCACTAGTGCACCACAACCCACGTCAGAGAAAATCTATTATTTTCTCTATAATTTGATGACAGCATTTTGTCAATAAATAAAGGGAGAAATATAATATACTTTTTTAAAAAAATTACTAAAATAGAGAAAATTTCTAAATGAGTTAATTACTTAGATACACTTTAGTTGGTAATATTATGTATTTACCAGATTTTGATGTGTTTAGATACATCCAGATACATGTATCACATGATACATAAAGTCAAATTTGTTCTAGATATATTGTATCAAAGTGGATTTTTGCATGTATTTGGGAAACATAACGAATCTCGTTTGCGTCCCTCGCTTCTCTCTCATATTCGCTACTCTCCTATGTTTCGGGTATCCTAGATACACCAAATACATGCAAATCACATGTATCTAGTGTGATTCACATATATCTTGGATACATAACGAATCTCGCTTGTCTACCTCCCTATTTTAATGTATCTGGTAGCAAAAATGCATGTATCTACGTGTATCTTCCTCAATATATGATATAAAACTATTAATTAATGATAAAATATGCAATATTTTAAATATATAAATAATAATAGTAATAATAATAATATATGAATTATGAATTATGTCTAATTATGTAGTTTTTCAAAAATAAATCATAATTTGTTATTCTTTTTTCTTTTTACTTTTTTGCTTAAACAGTTATATCATGAAGTATTTATCACATGACTAAAAACGAGTCATCATCTATTTAAGGATAAGGTGGAATCTCAATCACACAATATTTTACTATTAGACATCATTTCATCACTTGTTTGTTTAATTCCAAATCTTTACTAATGTCCTCGGTCTGGTGTTCGAATTAATTTATATGCATCTTATAAAAGTCGATGTTCAAAATTAATATATATGTATATTATGACTATGTTATTAGATTTTTGCTACATATCAATATTTGTAACTCCACTGATCAACAGTAAAGAGATGATAAATAATGACTTTTTATTTAACTTCTATTTATAAGATTTTGAACCATAAATTTACATAATTTGATCGCAAAAAATTTGGACGCACCTTCTTACAGTAATAATATATTACTATCGTTTTTTTTATTAATATAAAAACGTTTTCTTGTAATTCCAGTACAAGCTAGTAATCATATTGTAAAGTCATCTATTGAGACTTGAGAAGAAAGAATATAATACTAGTGCATGTCATTTTTGTACTTCCTTTTTGCACCATATTCTTTTACTTTTAAGGGACAAAAGCAGGTTAAAGCAAATCAATTTTTATAGAAGAATCTGGCCACAAATTGAATAGCTGAATTGCCTTTAATAATAATAATAATAATAATAATAATAATATTTAAGTAGTAACTTTTATGAGATAATTTTGATTGTTTTGGGCTTGACATGAGTAAGTGTTTCGAATAGAACAACCAGTAATCAAGTTTAAATAACATCACACATTTCATGGAATTAATATCTTCTCTATATTAAAATGTGGAAACAATAGATAATATATTGGGAAAATTACGTGGTTAAACAAACTTATACTACTTAATTACTCATCATAACTATAGTTTGCTATAATTACCACTTGCGACTAACATTATACATTAATTACGTGGGTTGACTTTGAGTTTGTATAATTAGTCACATTTGTATATGTGTAATTCGAATCGCCTCTCTCCTCTCTCTCCCCGTCTCGATCGCCTCTCTCCTCTCTCTCCCCGTCTCGATCGCCTCTCTCCTCTCTCTCCCCGTCTCGATCGCCTCTCTCCTCTCTCTCCCCGTCTCGATCGCCTCTCTCCTCTCTCTCCCCGTCTCGATCGCCTCTCTCCTCTCTCTCCCCGTCTCGATCGCCTCTCTCCTCTCTCTCCCCGTCTCGATCGCCTCTCTCCTCTCTCTCCCCGTCTCGATCGCCTCTCTCCTCTCTCTCCCCGTCTCGATCGCCTCTCTCCTCTCTCTCCCCGTCTCGATCGCCTCTCTCCTCTCTCTCCCCGTCTCGATCGCCTCTCTCCTCTCTCTCCCCGTCTCGATCGCCTCTCTCCTCTCTCTCCCCGTCTCGATCGCCTCTCTCCTCTCTCTCCCCGTCTCGATCGCCTCTCTCCTCTCTCTCCCCGTCTCGATCGCCTCTCTCCTCTCTCTCCCGGTCTCGCTCGCCCCTCTCCTCCCTATAACATGTAGCTACAAATTGTAATTTTCAAACTATAGCTATGGAGAGTAATTAGGCTATTTTTGAGTGGCTATATGTGAAAGTTCCTCTAATATATTTGTGTTTTTTATGGAGTACTATTTATTAAGTGATCTTATGAAGTTATATTTTAGTTTTTTTTATTTTCTTCTTATAAAAGAATAAGGACTGTATGATATGTGGTTGGTACTCTCGACAGATCTTGGAATAAATTGGGCTAAAACAAAGCCCATGTTATTTTGGGCTTCAAAATGGAGTGGCCATTTTCAGTAAGCCCACTTAAGATGATTTTTGTCTAAAGAAAATTTAATAAATACTCCATTTGTTCCAATTTATATGGCACTTTTCATTTTTCGAGAGTCAAACAATTTAAGTTTGACCGAAAATTTACTCATTGAATATTCAAAATTTTTGAAATGAAATTTATATATTTATAAACTACGTAAAAAGTACTATAAGTTACAATAATTGACAATTCAAAATATTTAAAAGATGTATGCAAAATTTATGGTCAAAGATAGACTTGTTTGAATATCGTAATCCGAAAAGTGTCACATAAATTGGGATGGAGGGAGTAACATATTTAAGAGTTGATACTGATAGTTCTGAGAGATTTTTTTAATTTTCAATACCTGGCATTAGAATTCTAATAATATATAAATTTAATATACTGAATAAAAATAAAAATTGGACAAAAAAAGAATGAAAAAGTGCTAATGGAATTAGAGAAAAATAGTCAAATGCTCCCCGCACCCGATCTATTATCGGATTCCCAACTACACACCTATACTTCACGATTACTTCCTTGAACTATTTTAAAATGACATTAATTTCACCCTAAATGTTGAGGATGAAGTGACAAAAAAAAGTGTATTCACGTGAGAGATAAAAAAAAAATTCATTAAAACTTTTAACTTTACAAGTATTTTCCCTTTTTCATAATAAGTTTTTGATTTTTTAAAAATTATGTTACCTTTTACTTTTATATATATATATATTTATTTATTTTTTTTTATTTTTTTTTTCTTTTTCTCTTCAACACTTAGCCGGATTTAAGTAATCGAAAAATATCATGAACCCACTTCATCGTTCAGTTATCACTAATTCTATCTAGAAATCGATCCTCTTTTTTTTTTTTATCATAAACTTCATTTTTTTCATTCTCACATCACCATTTTTGTCGCTGCCACGCCGCCTTTTCCACCTTTTTTTCCATACTTAAAAACTCTCTGCCTATCATTACTTGTTGTTATTGAATTTTGCGTAGTAACATATTGAGGAATATTTAAAATTATGATCGACAAATTAGTTTGTTCTAAAACACTTAAAAAATTACCTTTTATAGACATTCACCATGGCTACGAAATTAAAAATAGCTAAAATAATTTTCTATACTTTAAATCACAAATTCACTTTGAGCTTTTCTATCATCGTTAACTCCGATAAGATTCAACTTTTTGAAAACTAACCAACTATGCGGATTTATTAAATATGTCGTCTTCTAATCTCCAATTGATAGCCTCAAATCCGATTCCGTAATATTATCATTACCCGTTCAATGAAACTTGTGAAAAATAAAAAATAGAAAAAGAAGAAAAAAAGAACATGAGAAAAAGGTCATATGTTTGTGAGTTTTTGTGTCAATGAAGAAAAAGTTACTATAAAAAAGAAGAAGAAGAAGAAAAGACAAAAAAGGATGAAAAAGAAAAGAAAAATAAAAATAGTATAAAGACAAAAAATAATACCCTCAATTTCAAAAAGAGTGACCTGATTTGACTTGACACGAAATTTTAAAAAATAAAAAAGACTTTTGAATCTTGTGGTTCTAAATTAAAGTTATGTCAAATGTACTAAATTATCCTTCAATCTTGTGGCTTTAAACATGCCGCGTGAAAAACTGAACTTAAAATGTTATCAAAAAAGAAAAGAGGTCATTCTTGTTTAAACAGACTAAAAAGAAAATGAAGTCATTCTTTTTTAAACGAAGGAAATATAATATTATGTGACAGACGCGTGTATACTTAACATGAATCTTTGACTATTGTCTCATGGAAGTAATATAGAATTTTATAACTGATAGGATATATCGTATATCATTCATTGATTTTCTCTCTATTAGTTTGTTTCCCCATTTGATTGTTATCAGAAATTTGTTCTTTTCTTCTACATTTTTGTTTTTTTCTTTTCTTAGTTTTTTTTTTGGTATTGCTGAACTGTTTTTTTTTTTTGTAATTCAAATAAAAAAAGTAATGTGTATTCAATGTTGATCCAACATGCTGGTAGACGGAATTGTACAATTTTATTTTATTTTTAAAAATATTCTTTTGCATTTTTAGTTCAGTTAATGATAATTTTGTTGATACTAAAAGTAATAATAGTTTTTTAATTGTAATTTTTTTTTTAAGAAATAGGAGTTCGTATTTAATAAACTTCTTACTCTTTATCAGGATCTTTTACCTTTTTGCTCACTTGATGACTCGAATTCACAACTTTATGATTGAAATTTTTTAGCGACTCAAACTCACAATCCTAATAGAATTGAGGGATGTTCTTTTAAAAAAGAATTAATAACCTATATATGACCATCAAACAAGAACATAGTAGCACACAAACAAAGTAAATTTAACATTGGAAGGAAATATATACTGAAATCGAAAAAAAGCATAATTGAGTAAATTCGATGAAAACGACGTAGAATGTTCTACTTTTGACTGTGTATTACTACTTAGTTAGGCCATGTGTGTAGGTGCGGAGATTCCACAAACACAATCATGTAAAGATTGAAATTATCTGTATTACAATATTTTAAATAGATTAATATCTTCGATTTTGTGACTTCTTTAATTTTAGATTAAATAAAAAGGGTTTAGTCTTCAATCCATCTAGAGTCATTCTCTTATGTAGATTTTACCTCTATTACTGCAGAGGGTAATATAACTAAATTCTATAAAAAATTGTCGAGTGTATAACCACGTCCAAATTATTTACATTATTATTACTATTTACGATCAATACTCTTTTAAATGAATTTCTATTGTGATAACAAGTATGACATATTATAATTGTAGTACAATACTTAATTATCAAGAAATAAGACGATAGTCATAATAACAACAATATCAAAACTCAAAGTTAAATGACACATCAGAATATCACAAATACTTCTATGCACAAATTCATGTCAAATGTCAAAAGTTGGTTTTCTTTTTCTTTTTAGTTGTACATTGTTTAGACAATACACCAAATTTGATATAATTTAGTGGTAGCTTTTGCCTATTGTTTTAAAAAAAAATATCTAGTCATATAAACAAAGAAGGAAAAGCTAAATAAAAGGGACATTAAACCAAAAATATTTATAAGCTCATACCTAAACCCAAAGTAACTCTTTATATACCCTTTCTCCCCTAAATATTTACACCTCTTACCCCCTACCCTTCATTAGCCCATTCCTTTTAGACCCAATAGTTTTCTATGGATAGTAAAAACATAGCAACTAGTCATTGGCGAGGTCATCGTTCTAGTCATGCAAATTTTGTTGACAATCGTAGTGATAATGATAATGTAGCTAACCAAGAGTCGAGGGTTTATAGTATGTCTGGGCAAAAATTTTCTCTACATTTGGATGCAAACACAACAGATATTGTCGGGTTAAGTGAAGAAATCAATCATGCAATTGTTAATGTGGGTGAAGAAATCGGGGTTGATTTGAAGAGGAAAGGGTAGACACCCATGAATTCTGAAGAACAACCGAATAAAAAACAAAATTTAGGTAGTCGTTCCGGTCCTTCCATTCCTTTTGAGTCTTTCCCCCAAACTGAAATAGAAAATATTGGTGGATTCGGCGAAGAAGAAGTTGATCCTTATTCTCATTTGAAGGTATCATGCTCTTTTGTTTTGATAAATTAATCTGAGTCGTGATATGTTTATATATCCTCTTTCTTTTACTTGATTATTTGTGTATTTTGAACAGCTTAATGTTTGTTGTTTGGGTATCATGTATTTGATTATGTGTTGATATGCTTTGCGTTTAGTTTTATGATTTAGTAAAATGTTTGATCTGCTACATTTGTTTGTGTTTTAAAGTATTAGGCTTTGTATTACTTACAATTAATGCCAATTCATTTCTTTCTGCACACGATCTTTCATGTTCTGGACATTATTGAAATTTGTTACTCGGAAATTTTTTGAATTTTGTATTCTTCTTGCCTTAAGAGTCCATCGACATGTCTCGTCTAGACAAATAACAGTATATTTGCATTAAATGCGTATGTGACTGAACATTATTCTTTCATTTGTGAAATAAACTATATGTTAAAGACTTCAACAAATTCATTATTTGCTCATTCAGTAATAGTGCATTTCCTGCTGGACTTTGTTATTATTTCTGAATGATACCAGAAGAGTATGTAATATACTATTTTGGTATCATTATTGCTCATTTTCCACTGATTATTTCTGAAAGATAGCATAAAAGTATGTTATATACTATTATGGTATCATTCAGTAACTGCGCATTTCCTCTTATACTGTGTTATTATTTCTGAATGATACCACAACAGTATACATATACTATTTTGATATCATTCAGTAATTGCTCATTTTCTCTAATTATTTTTAGTTGATATCTGAACAGTATACTATATATTATTATTGTGTCACTCACTACTTGTGCATTTCCTTTTGGACTGTGTTATTATTTCTGAATAATACCACAAAAGCATGCCATATACCATTTTGGTATCATTCAGTAATTGCTCATTTTCAACTGTTTATTTCTGAATGATACCATATGAGTATGCTATATACTAGTATGGTATCATTCAATAATTGTTCATTTTCCACTGATTATTTCTGAATGATACCATAAAAGTATGTTATATACTGTTATGGTATCATTCGGTAACTCTGCATTTCCTCCTGGACTGTGTTATTATTTCTGAATGATACCAAAACAGTATACATATACTATTTTGGTATCATTCAGTAATTGCTCATTTTCTCTGATTATTTTTTAATGATACCAGAACAGTATGCTATATACTATTATGGTATCACTCAGTACCTGTGCATTTCCTTCTAGGTTGTGTTATTATTTCTGAATGATACCACAACATCATTCCATATACTGTTTTGATATCATTCAGTAATTGCTCATTTTCCACTGTTTATTTCTGAATGATACCAAAAGAGTATGCCATATACTATTTTGGTATCATTCAGTAATATACTCTCTTTTTTTCAATCTCATTTGATATCTTAATTTACGTAATTTGATATTAACTAGCAATATTTATAAAAATTAAAATTTCAAATAGTTCATAGATTGCATCTTGTTCAAAAGCACACACTTTTACTTTGCAATATTGGGACTATCGATAATATAATTAAGGAATGAGAATTTTTTTTAATTAACATATATAAGACTAATTATTATTAGTTATGACATTATTCTTTATGTTTCAAGTTTTAACATTAAACAATTACCAAGCTATAACATTTGTTAAATAAAAAAAGTATTAAGAAAATGAAATATAAATTAACAGACAAATTGTTGGGTTTAAAGGTGTGAATAGGCAATGAAGAGTTGTGACTCTCCTGAAGGTTGTGACTTTGCCGAAGGGTTGTGACCTTTATGAAAGGTTGTGTCTTTTCTAAAGGGTTGTGACCGTTTGAAAGGTTGTGACCTTTCTGAAATGTTGTCCTTTTTTCAAAAAATTGTGACCTTTACCCTTTGTTGACTATAAATAGAGAGACTTTCTCTCATTTTTCTGCATGAAATTCAATCCTTCTTCTGCATACATTTCTTACAAAACAAATCGATCGATCGTATCTGTGTGTGTGATTCGTTGCTGTCATTTTGAGTTTGTTGAAATTATTGAAGTTTGAGGTACCGCTATTTCTTTAATGATTAATCTGTTTTATCTTGGGAGGAATTAATCTGCAACCTCGGATACTTGAGGGGATTAAATTTCTTAAGCTTGCACAGTGGGTTCTGTGGACTCGAATAGTTCTTTTATTTTTCTTTTCATCTTTTATTATTTCTGATTTGCTAATTTGAATACATGAGATACCACAAATTAAGAATAGTAATGATAATTAATTATAGACATACAATTAGGAAAGTCATAACAAAAAGAATATTTGTTAATCTTGTTCAGCCCAAAACAATTACTGACTTTTACTCTCACCTATCAATTGTCTATCAAAACAAATTCCATTTTCTATATCAATATTCTTTTCTTTCTCTATCATCGCTAAAAATAGTAGTCGCCACTGTTTTCTCTCACGATTTTTTTTCGTATTTATTTTCGTTTTATATTGTGATGGAAAGTTTCTTATCATATTAATAAAGCATG